CGCTTCGCTCAGCCCCCTCCTCACCTGCACCTCGCCTTCTTGTGCGACTTCCAACTTCCTGCCACGCCCCCTTCTCATTTCCTCCATTCATCTCTCCAAGCAGGCGGACACGCCCCTCTGCCTCATCCAGCCAATGAGGATGACACCTGCGTTGCTGGGAGACTGGAGACCCGCCTCCTCTTTTTCCCACCTTGACTCGATTCTTTCTTTCTTTCTTCCTCTCCCTCTCCCCCTCCCTCCCTCCTTCCTTCCTTTTCTCTCCCTCCCTCTCCATTTTTTATTTTATTCCTTTATTTATTCATATATCAAATTTGTCACTGCCCATCTCGTTAAAAAACAAGGGCGGTTTTTCCCTTCCTCTGCTTTTCCTCTCCTCTCCTCTCCTCTCCTCTCCTCTCCTCTCCTCCCTTCCCTTCCCTTTCCCCCACTCGCATTCTGGCTTCTCTTCCTCTCCCTCCTTTCTTCCTTCCATTTTATTGATTGTCTTTCCTCCCTTCCTTCCTCCCGTCTTTTTCCCTTCCCTTCTCTTTTTCTCCTTAAGATTTGCAGAGGGGAGCAGCCTCTTGCCACCAAAGTGTCTGGGGAGGGTCTGATCCACAGACGTTTTCTGGCTCGGAGGCCTCTTCCGAGCTGCAAACTTCTGTGGGAAGTTGTGAGTAAACGTGCCCTCCAGACTTCATGGTTCTTTCACTCATACTGAGAATTGTTTGAGAGGGTGACGGTGAAAGTGACGGGAAGAAGGAGCCGGGGAGATCAATGCTGCGCTTTCCCCGAGGTCTTCCTTTGGGGTTAATGCCGTGGGAAGCCCTGGGGCGCTGCAGACCTTGGAGACAGGGTGGTGCAAAGGGAGCTCCTCCGTAGCCCCCTCTGGGCCTTCTCACTGGCTGAGTTCCCCCCAAAACCAAGTTAACAGAAGCCCCAGCAGAGCTCCCACACCACATCCAACCGTTGGTTAGTTTCAATCTCCAGTTAGTTTTTTGTTTGCAGTGATGTAACCGTTTTGCAAGTTTGAAAAAAGCATTCATTCAGAAGCAGGAAGCAGAGGAAGCACATTGGGTGAATGCAAAGAGAAAGTACAAGGGTTTCCCCCTAATGTCCTCCTTTCTGGGGTGGGAAAGCACGTTAGAAAGTTCATTCTCCCCTCTCAACTGGAAGAGAAGAGGGAAAGGAGTGCAAAGGGTTTTAATTAGGCCCAGAGAAGAAGCCCATTTTGGTGCTGGACTAGAAACCAGGAGACCGTGAATTTTAGGCCTGAAAGCCAGCTGGGCCAGTCCCTCTCATTCAGCCCAACCCACCTCACAGGGTTGTCGTTGTGAGGAAGACAGGAGGAGGGCTCGCTACATACGCCACCTTGAGCTGTACAAAATAAAGGCAGGAGAGAAATCCTGTACAGATAGTTCTTGACCTACGACCATTCATTTAGCAACCGTTCAAACTTACGACGGCGCCGAAAAATGACTTATGACCGGTCTTCGCGCTTACAACCGTTGCAGCGTCCCTGCGGTCACATAATCATGATTTGGGCACTTAGCAACCATCACGCATTTACGACAGTTACGTGATCGCCATTTGCAACCTGCAAGCCGGCTTCTGACAAGCAAAGTCAATGGGGAAGCCAGCAGGGGAGATCGCAAGTGGCGGTCACGTGATGTCGGCTTAATGACCGTGGCAAAAAAAGTCATAAAACCAGATGCAGTCACGTGATGCCTCGCTTAATGACTGCACCACTTAACGAAAAATTTTCCGGTCCCTATTGTGGTCGTAAATCGAGGACTACCTGTACAGTAAATAAATAAGAGAAACCACAGCAGTGTGATTGATATATATGTGTGTGTTAGCAACAGCAAAGCTCTCCTGGGCCCCCACAGATCCGAACATGGATCTAGGCTCGGTTCACACAACACCTGGGGTAAATAAATCACAACGGCGGTATAGCCTACAATGTCCAAGCAACAGATTTGGATTAGATCAGTGTTTCTCAACCTTGGCCACTTTAAGATGTGTGGACTTCAACTCCCAGAATCCCCCAG